TGCATGGAAAGACTATATATTAATTTACTTTTTGACTTACGCAATAACTCCTTGTCCTTGTTGTTTTATGTTTTATCATTTGTATGGACAGCTGAAATCTAAATATTTTCCTGGATTAAGATTTTTCTTTCTTCCTCTATCAATTTGATGTAAATACTTTCAAATAGACCAATTTTTTTCCAGCTGGAAGAGCACGAAGCAGACGAGAAACATAAGGGGAAGCCTGCTGGGTCACACGATGATCTCGCCACCATGCTTTGCAGGAAACCTGCATTCCCAAACACTTGAGACTTTAAATTAATTCATGGTCACTAAGCTCCACGGGGTCCTTGTGCCATTTTATTTTCCTAGTCCATTCACTTTCCTCAAATCTTCAACATCCCCATTTCCACCTTCTCTCTCAACTGATGACTCTGATCCCCACTTCGCTGAGAAAGCTTGAGGCGATCAGAACGTGAACATCCACCCACCTAACCAGAATCTGTGCCCGTGTCCTCTGCCTTTGCTCCTACTGACAGGGGTATGCTATATGCTCTCAGCCAGCCTCTGTTTATGTACTAGAAACCATCCCTCTCACCTACCCAAGGCTAGGACTCCAGTAATTCTGCCTCCTCTCCCTCTCTCATCACTGTTTCTACTCTCTACTGGATCCTTCTCAAAAGCACACAAATATGCTATTATTATTCCTAATGCCCACAAACTGTCTTTTCCATGGTCTGCCCCATTTCAGTAAATGGCAACTCCACCCTTCCAATTGTTGAGGCCAAACTTGGAAATCATTTTTGACTCTATTCACACCCTACTCCCACACAATTAGCAAATCTTTTAGGTTCTTCCTCAAATGCAACCACTCCTCACTACCTCTATTGCTACTGACCTGGACAAAACCACCCCCTTCTTTTGTCTGGACTCCTGCGTGCCTCACTCTGCTTCCATTCTTGCTCCTCCACCCCCGACTCTTTTTATTCTCAGCACAACTGCAAGAGGGATCCTATGAAAACATACATCACTGAATGAATAACAACTTATTCTTAACTCTAAAAACATTTATAAACCAATTTTCTTTTCTGTTTTTCAAAGGAAATTGAAAAGTTTTCTTCCTCAAATCTTCTCTGCTGTCAGGGAGAAAAAAAAATAGAGACCATCAAATTTGTTTCCCTAAACAACTTTACTTAACTCTCAATAAAGCCTTTTTCTCACCCAAGGGAAGACAGCCAAAAAGGAAGGGAGTGAGTCTCCATAATGCCCGTCCCTTACGTAAAACAAGGATAGCAGAATGTAACAAATCTATGCCCTTTCATCTGACCACCTTCTCACAACCATTAACTCTTTTTTTTT